AGGTCACACATGTACCAGCTCAAGTCACACTAACAGAGTGTAGCCCTAAGCTCCTTCACCCAAAATGCATTGCCAAGAAGCCATAAGGAAAATACTTTTAAATGTTTCTATCAATGTAAAACCATTAAAAATAAGTATGTAGACTATGAAAAGAGATAAAAATGTACACATGAAAGAATACGCATGCATATATATACCTAGCATATAATCTGAATATTATTTGTATATAAAAATTCATAAGAAAGCGGTGGGTATATTTTTAATCAAATTAATTCCTCTATTCTTTGATTGTGAGAAAGAGGCTGAATTGGGACTAATGGGTCGAAACTATCAGGAGGTGGGTAAGTTTCAGTTTATTAAAAGGAAGAAGTTTCTACAGGTAAAAGCTGTCCAAAAGTGGAATAAGAGAAGATGACATCCAGCATTAGAAGTTATTAAAACAGAGGCTGCAGAACACTTTGCGGCAATATAGTGGTTGTACTGATTCCTAAATTCAGACAAGCTGTGTTAGATAATGTCCGCAGATGCTGAAAATAGGGGGTTCTGAGCTCAGGCCCATGGGGATGTCCCAAGATCTGTATTTTTAACAAACTACTCAAGTGATTCTCATGTTCAGAGGGCATGCATCAGACAACTGTAAGGAACTGTTCCAATTCAAGAGTCTATATTTTTTTACATGAGGTAATGGAAACAGCATTGCAATAGTAGTAAGGAATCCAGATTCTATTTTGGTTCTGTCCTTAACAAGCTGCATGAGTTTTGAACACATTACATCATGTCTCTGGGACTCAATTTTCCTGTCTGCAAGAGTAAGTGAGACTAGGTGTATCTTATGGCTCTTACATGTTAGAAATTTGTGTTTCTGAGGGTGGCCTGGAGGAAACTAATTTTCAAAGTCCCTGGAAAATTCTTCATGACATTCAGGTGATGGAGAATTATCCTTGAATAACTGTCTATGACAGATGGGCAAGGCCATGCTACCTGGCTGGTTTCCTGGAGTTGGCAGGCAATTGGCCCAGGATACGTCTATCACATGTAGAACAGGTGGTGAGTGGCTAGGGCTGGCAGGCTGGAAGTTGCAGACTCAGAAACCTCACCATCTTGGCTCCAACTACCATCTTTGTTACTTACTATTCAAAAAGAAGGCCTATCCACTGAAATCAGTGACACAAGAGGTGGTGGGTATTTCTTGACCTTCCACCTTACAAATTCAATGTATCTGGTGAATTCCTGCAGGACCCATATAGCGCCTGGACAAAAAGCACTTATTTGGATCATTTTTGCTGAAAATAAAACCTTTTCCCATCACATTCTCTTCTTTGCCTTCTGGCATTTAAATATCTGAGCTAATGTTATTGGTCAGATTTTTATCAATAATGAATATTTAATTAAAAGAAATGTAATAAACTTAAATAAATTTAATAAAAAATGAAGATAGCCTTTATTGGTCCAAATAGGAGCTTGTTGTTCACCATTTCTTGTGTCACTGATTCTGACTGATAGGCACCAACACATTAGGAAGCCCATAAACAAAAGCATCACAACGCCTGCTTCGAAGGGACCTATCTGAAAGAAAAAAGCATCCACACTGATCTTTTTGGGTCATTGGGTATCAGAGGTCTCTTGATGTCACCTGTGAATTCTAGAAAACTTTCTTTATTTCAATTATTTGCTCTTACAACTCTCACCCCTACTCTCATTCCTCACAAATTCTTTTTTTCTAAGTCCATATTCCCCAGGTCTATATTTTTTCCCTTTATCTCAATGTTGATTTTTTTTTTTCGTTTGGTGAATATATTCTTGTTCAGAGAACTTTTCCTTATATTCTAAAGCCTTCAGTTGGAGTTTCTCACCCAGACTCCCTCATTTGATTCATTACAATGTACATGTCTGCATATTTCTTTGTATTAGTGTACTTATTTGGCATAAGTCGCTAATGCTTCTGCTTCTTCTTTTTTGTCTTCATCTTTTGTTTTGTTTTTTACTTTTAGGACAATTTGTATAAATTGGTGACATTTTCAACTCAGCATGATAGCTGGACAGTACAGAGATGGGCTTTCTAGTAGGGCTACTTCCTGTAGATTAATGTTATTCCCATTTTTCTAATGGAATGTTTAATAGGTCCCTAAAACATATCTAAAATGTATCTTTTGATTTCGAATACTTCAGTTAAACCAACCAACCAACCAACCAACAAACCAACCAACAAATCTCCTGCTCCATTCACAGTCTTCCTCATTGAAGTTGATGGCAATTTCATTCTTCCAGTTGCTCAAGCCCAAAAGTGTGGAGTCATCATCGACTCCTTTCTTTTTTTTCGTATTCTACATATGATCTATCCCCAAATACTATTCTGCCTTTGAACTTGAATTGGAGTCTGACCACTTCACATATCATCGATGCTGAGCACCTAGTCTGAATCACCATTTTTATAACAGCTTCCTATCTGGTGCTTAACCTGCCAACTCCTCAGAGTATGCAGAATGCGATAGAGTGATCTTGTTGAAACACAAGTCAGGGTATGTCACCCCATGCTCAAAGTCTTCCAGTGGCCTTATAATGGCCAAGAGGCTACATGATCTAGCTCACCATTATCACTCTGACTTCATCTCTATTATCCATTCTTTCCTTCATTTTATTCCAGTGCCCTCATCTTAGTTCCTCAACACATCAGAAACATGCCTGCTTTGGAGATTTAGCATTTGCTTCTGGAATACTCTTTCTCTCAACATCCACATGATTAAATCGCTCATCTCCTTTCTATCTTTACTCAAATGACCTTGGCAAGTTTTTGCTTGGCTACCTGTTTTAAAATTGCAACACTTCTATCCCCTCTTCGTACTTTATTTTGTTCCCTTGGCCTTTATCACAACCTAAAATTTTCTTATTTATTTTGTTGTCTCTTCTATTAGAATCTAAATTCCACAGGAGCAGAAATTTCAATCTGTTTTATTTACTTCTGAATCCCCAGTGCCCAACAATGCTTAAAAAATAGTAAACACCAATAAATATTTGTTGAATGAATGACTAAGCACGTTAAAAATAGAAACAGATGGAACTTGTAGGAGTAAAAATAAAAGAATGAAATCAAACACCTAAAACCTAGATTAAAGAGAAAATTAGTTTTCAGAAACAGTACAATATCAACAAAAGAGATACATGCCATGGCTCATCTTATGAAACTGGCATAAATTTGATAGTCAAACCAGCAAGGAAAGTAAGTAAGAAAAATTACAGACCAATCTTGCTCATGAAAATAGATACGAAAATCCTAAATAACATTTTATCAAAGCAAAATCCAGAAATGTCCAAAAAACATCATAGCCAATATTATGGTATAATTACATTTATATAAATTTCAAAATGAGTGAACACTAATAATATACTAACAATATGAGTATCTTTCATTATCCGAGTCTACTTGGTACTTGAGTTCAAAGAGTGACTATCTGAATAATCAGTTGGGATATTTATGAGAACCTCAACTGAATGTATGTTTTTAAGATAATGTGAGGTAATATTGATTCCCTTCCTCTGCCTTTGGTGTGCGGGCCTATGAATTTTGATCTATGTGTAGATTTATATTACTACCACCACCACAAACAGGACACAGAACAGTTCTACCACCTAAAATTTCCTCATACTATTCCTTTGTAGTCACACTCTCCCCTAACTCCCAATTTCTGGCAACCACTGATCCATTCGCCATCACTGTAGTTTTGTTTGTTTGTTTTCTAGTCATATAAATGGAATCATATGGTGTGTAACCTTTTGAGACTGGCTTCCCTCATTCAGAAAAATTACTCTGAAACTCATCCAAGTTGGTGCATGTATCAAAGTTCACTCCTTTTTATTGCTGAATGTGGATGTAGCACTATTTGTTTGTTTATTCACCCATCGAAGGACATTTGGGTTGTTTCCAGTCTTTGGAGATGATGACTAAAGTTGCTATAAATACAAGTTTTTGTCTGAACACAAGTTTTCATGTCTCTTGGGATTGGTGGGTCATATGGTAAGAATATATTTAAATTTATAAGAAACTTCCATGGTAGCTGCATCATTTTACCTTCCTACCAGCAATGTGTGAGAGTTCCAGTTACCCCATAGCCTCATCACCACTTTGTACTGTCAGTATTTCTATAGGTTTGTAGTACAAACTGACTCCTTTTTGGATTCTCAAATTTGGAAGGCAATTAGCCATATTTTGACAATGGAAGAACCATTGAAAATTTTATCTTATTTTATTTGGTTATTTATTTGGATAGTAAGGGATACATGCCTATGTGGTAAACAAATTGATTAGTATAAGAGTAGATAGTGGTTACCTCTGGTGGAAAGGGAGGTAGATGCTATCCAGTAGGTCAGCTAGTGGCTCTGAGGTAGTGATGATATATTGATGATGTGTTGTTTATGAAGCAGCATGGCGGGTACATGTGCCCTGTTTTATTATTATTATTGAAACTATATCCATGTGTTTGATGTATTTCACAATTAATTTTTAAAGAAATGTGTGAGCATACAAAATATACAAAACCTCCCAAACTAATGCAGAAAAGCATTTTAAAACCAATTCTTTCAGGAGTTAAAGTACAGCGAGTTAAAAAATTTAAAAGCATTTTGTAGAAATTGAACATAAGACTTTCTTAAAGCTTGTTTAAAACCAAAATAATTTCTTTAATATGTCTGTGCGTGTGTACATCCTGTGAGCCAAACTGCTGATGGGCCAGTCAGTTTATTAATGAGCTTGTTATTTCCCAGAAGCCTCAACCTATACACAGAGGGCTGGTCCTGATAAGACCAACCTTAATGATCAGCAAAGACTAGCTTCTTCCTAGAAGGACCAGAACTCAACTTTAAGAAGTATGTTAAAGAACTACACTTAAAGAATCATCTTTACTCTTCGCAAATTCCTAGACGTCTCCCAAGTCACAATCAAGACTACACAACTATTCAGCAACCTTTCCCTGTTGCCACCAAAACCTTGTAAGGAGAACACTTACCTGTGACAACACTGGGGATTTTGGAGAGGAAGCTCTTGACCGTTCTAATGGGCACACCCCCTGTCTTGTCGTCTTGCATCTTTGTAATGATGTCTTCAATCTGAAAGAAGTTAGAGAAAAGAAGCGTTATTGTCTCCCACAAAGTAATAGTAAATGGCACCTTTATAAGCAGCCAAAATTGTGGGAACATGGATGTCCACAGTAGATATCAAGAAAAGTCTCCACCTGGTCAGTCAATAAACATGTGGATTACATGCTGGGGATGGGGAGGTTAGGGGGT